TTCGGGCAAGGTCCTTTGTCAGGGGGTTTATTTTACGGATTCCCATAATTCAGTAATTCATTTCCCCGTATTCTTAACCAGCTTCACGCTACCTGCAGTGTGGCCAAACCCAGAATTTGTCGGGGCCTTAAGGGGGCTGCAGTGACGATGTTTCGGGGAACACAGGATTTATCACATGAGGACTGGGCTACGAGGCCCATCTGCGGCGGGTGCAGAATGTTACAGTCTTCTGGGATATGACATCACATACTTTGGTAAATATGTACCAGTGTTTTGGAGGAACCTGCTGCTTTCATATTCGGTGTATATTTTCGGTTTCCCTTTCCGCTTCCATCTTCAGGATGAATATAATTAAATACTTACGGACGTTTTCAGTGAACGAAATGCCTCCGTGTAGAGGGATGAAAAATGTTAGAAATTTACAGACGTTTTGAGCGAACGTCCTGCTTCCTTCTTCAGTGTATAAAGGGGAGACAGGACAAGACATGAAGCCCAGGTTGAACCAGTGAGAGCGATATAAAATGAACGGAATTTTGTAGCGCTGAAAGGGAGCCGGTGATGTAGGTAAAACGTAAAACATAAAGACGATGAGGAAGGTAACGAAAGGATATGCTACATAAAATAGAAATAAGCGACTGTAATGAAGTAGAAATGGGCATTAAAAACGAAATAAAGAACGGAAAAGACGTGGAAATGAAGGCAATTACAATAAAGCAGTTAAAAATAAAATAAGGATAAAAGTTACATATAAAATAGAATAAGTGGTATAAATTTAAATTTGAACTGAATATTAAGGTTACGGCGGTTTTCTTTCCCGTGCTACTGTCTCTAATATCGCGGAGATTCGTCCGAAACGTCAGTTCCTCTCTACCAAACTACATGGAATCGCATCCCAGAAGAATGTAACATTAAATTAATCTGTTTTTTATTTCTTCATGAGCGAAAATTTCTGTTCTCTGGGATCGTTGCCAAATAGGCTTAACTTATTTGAAGTTCTCCACAACTTCCCACAGATTATTACGAATAGGCCTATTTTGTGCTGCATTCTGATGTCGGGATAAATTACTTAATCTTAATTAATGCTAATTAATCTTTCACGTATTTATTTATGTAAAGCTTCAGAAGTACAGAAGTTGTTAACATTGGTGCAGCCACAAAATTTTCCTGGAGGAAAGGACAACCAGGAAACTTGCTCACAGACATGGGTTCAAGCCGTTGAAGAATATTTCTACTGACTCCCCTGGAGTGCTCAGGAGGCAGTGAGGGAGGATGTCTGCATTTCTGTCGTTCCATAAGTTATGATTATTTCCAAATTTCCATGGAAGGTGTCAAATGTCTGGCATGACAATCTGCCGACACTTATGTTACCTCGGACTTATGTACAGCCTTCTTTAGCATTTGTCCACTGGCTGTAGGCCTGTGTCCCTGTTCCGTAAGTTTCTCACAGTAAACAGCCACTGTTTCCCCAAACAGCATTAACCGGTTGGTGTCTGTAACGGAGACGTAATGTGTTTCCTGCGAGGTACGGACTAATTCTTATATATAAAGTCTCTGCATTCTGCCCGTACAATGTATTTGTGTGTTCCATATGGTTCTCACAGTAAACAGCGGTAATTTCCCTAAACAGCGTAGATGTAATGTGTTTCTTGCGAGGTACGAACTGAATTTTTATATATGAGTTTCCGGCTTCTAAGAGTCGTCTAGTGAAACTATTTGAATTACACTTTCATATTTCGCAAGCAGTTTTATTTTGATTTTTTTCCGTTTTGAAAAGTATGGGTCACGGAATCCCGACAATAATTTAGAATCACTCTGCATATTAAAGTACAGGCTAAGGATAGAGGCGCTGTCTTCAGCATCGTTTACGTTTTTATTTTCGGTATTAACACATTACTTGGTATATTTTCTCATCCTTTCAATGTTGTTTTATTTTTTAAAAATCCAGTAGGAATAGAAGCCTGAGTTGACCTCGCTTCCTTTGACGTGGGACACGCAGAAGAGTGACCCCCAGCTGCTAAGCTCCCCAGCGATAAAATTGGTGGGAAAGGGCGCATAGATCCACTCCATAACGTATTATCCAGAATATGCAACGGCGTTCTTTGCAGATTATTGAGCTGGCTTTCGGTCTGAATATAAATCACTGTGGTGTATAGACCCATTACTGGACATAAACCTCGAAACTAACGAGTACAACCGTTTCTGTGCAATAGGCGAGTCAACACACGGCAGTTTCTAGGCAAAGGAACGGTCAACACGTCTATAAAAATAGAGTAAATGTTGAAAGCTGTGTTCTCTGTTGAGTCCGTCCGAGGCTATATAACGAATACCCCAGGCCGGCTGAAATTATTTGAGAGAGAGTTAAGGGTTGACAGTGCAGCTGAGCTCGGCAAGGGAGGCTAAGACGAGATGGCGGTATAAACAACTGACGGATGATTGACAAGACTTGGGAGAGTTCCAGATTTTTATTACTGTCAGGCAGTTGCGGGTTTGCTGATGTGGGGAGCTCTCTCTGACGAGAGGGCTGGTGTGTCGTTTACAATTGCTAATGATCCTCGCTAGCGCAGTCACTCTCAGGTCCGAGTCCCGTGGGACTCATGGCCATATTTTACTTTTTCATATTCTAGACTCCCCCAACCTGGAGGGCCAGGTCCCTGTATTTATAACCCCCAGGAACAGGGCGGCCCAGTTATACACCCAGGCACTGGGTTCCCTTTTCGTCGCCTCATATGGCTCGCAGGGCTACGGTGGAGGGGAACTTCATCACGGCACAAAATCAAAATCCCCCGACAGAGTTCGCTGAGTACCCCAGACAGAATTTTAAAAATTGTGTCCAGATGTTAAGCATCGATATTAGATCACGGGCAACAAGTGAAGGTAGACAGACAGACATTACTTCCACATAAGTTGTAAACACAAACAGATATATCTACCAAAGGACCCAAAACATAGGATGAATATAAAATATCAAAATTAAAATAGGCCTATAGAATACTGTGTTGACAGAAATGTTGGTCCGTAAATTATTGTTTCATTTAATAATTCCAGTCCCTCGCCGGACCACAAATTAAATTTATCGCTAAATAACATGGAAGTTAAGAAGAAGTTGAATTATAGGCATGCCTCCATTCCCCAATACGTCTTCTTTGAGTGATGTTTAATTACGGATAAGAGAACTGTATTTTTACTATAATTGTTTGAAACCTGCTGGACATTTTGGGTGATGTGGGTACAGATTCTGCCCCTTCATATCTGTCCAGACTGGTCCTAACGACCAATTTTACGAAATTCAAGCAGAAAAGGCCTTTCGTTTCCCGGGATAGGCCTATACTTCCCTTGTAAGTACTGCAATTGCATAGAACAAGGGGCTGGAATTTTAAGGGGAATATAATTCAAATTAATTAATAAATTCCATTCTATTCATGTAAACAAAAGAATTTTTTTGAATGAGGATTCGAATCGCATCTAAAATCTCTAATTCTAATTCAATAATTCGCGCGCTGCTTTAAGAGCTGTGACCACCGTACATATTGACAAAATTACAGAATAAATTTAAGAATAGTGTCGGGTGTTCTATATTGAAGTCCAAAATTTTCTTAACAGGAAAGCTTCAAATCCTATTTTTCGGTGTTTGTCAGAAAATTGAAGAAAAAAAAAAAAGAACGCCATACGTGTAGATGCTGTCTGTCCGTCTGTCTGTAACCTCGTATCAGTGGTTTACACCATTGGGCACATTTTCTTAAAAATTAGATATGGGAAATATTCATCAAAACTTGTGGAGCAAATCATATCGTATTTATCACATTGATCAATAGCCAATCCCGGTTTACAGCAGCCATTATTCGGGACTTCCCCGTGTACCCCGCAAGGAGATCCACAAACACTGTTTAAATGCCATAAGGACACACTTTAACTAAAGTTACCGATCGGTTCTTATTTTTACGAATATTTGGATTTCCGAGGGCCAGACACTATCTTTCTGTACATTCGTGGGCCCCAGTAGGGGCAGGAAAGTAAAGCACCCTTCCAACCCCATATTAAAAAAAAATTAAATTCGAATGCATGAAATGTACCGGTAACACCAGAGAATATAGTTTCAATAGAGACCTACAACTTTAGGGTGATTTGTAAAAATATTCTTAAACGGTTTAAATGTATCCCCCTGGATAAAAAAATTCTGGAGTTTACTGGCCTCCACCGAAAAAAAATCCATTTTCAAGCATTTTCACGTAAAATTACCACGAACAATTCTATACAATATGTTGAAATTCGATATGAAAGAACTTCTCCAATTTTAAGAGCACTTCTAGGTTATAGTGTCGTGTAGTTCGGAGAAAGGCGTTTCGGAAAAACATCGTCTTCAATGTTAAGACTGAAGAGTAAATCAAATAAAAAACAGTTAACATTTCATCATCCCTATATCCAAATGTTGGTAAGATTTCGAAACAACATTGTTGTTAATTTCATGCTCTATATTATGGTATATACATACGCTTATGTAGGCCTAATGCGTATTTAAATATGTGCAAAATAGAAGCTATGTATTCATGTAGGATTTTATGTTCTCACACCGGTGGTTATTAAGAGTTCTATCTTCTGGGATATAATAGCGTGTAGTCCATAGAATATCTACCGACGTTTCGGAGGAAAATTTATCAGAGCAGATCTTCCTAACTGCTTTATGCCCATTTCTTGTTCGGCTTGTTCTTCTAGCCTAAATATGGAAACATGTTTCTCCGAAACGTCGGTTGATTTTTCAACTGATTATACAGTGTTATATCTCATAAGACAGAACTCTGTATTCATTAATGTCACTTGATGAGTTTGAATGGTAACGTAAAGTTGTTTAAAGAAACATTCTTTGAATCTGAACAGAAACGAGCTGAACTGAACTTCCATCAACTACGCTTAGAATTTCTGAACTGTAGTCAATATTACGTGGCAACCAGGGCACTTCAGCAAACATTAGAACCACTTCTGTCACCTGAAACTCCTGAACATACCTTCATCCTGAAAGCGCTGGCCGCGAAAATGCTCCTGTCTTATCCAGCTTCGGGCAGACGAAACACAAGCGAAATTCCTGGGCCACTGAACACAATGCTGCACGAACACTGCACTCTGATCAATGCCGCTCGCCAGTGGCACGGCTGGCCCGGTGCCCCCTCCCCGAGAATTACTGTGCCTTACTCTGATTGGCCGCAGCAACCGGTAGGAAGGGCCCAGATGCTTAGAGGCGGATCCGTCCCGCCCTAGACGGGCTGCTACAAATTGCCACGGCGGAAAATCTGCGCGCAGATGAAATAAAATGAGGACACTAGCCGTCGCTTAATTACGTCAACAGAGTTGAACAGCTAACTGCAGCCATTCTGTAAGCCTATGGGGGCCCACTCAGACTCCAGTGGGTACCGGCGGGGGGCTCCTTCGATGGGGGCGAAGCGGCCGGGGTGTGAAGCCTAACATTCACTTCCATCTAGTGCCGGGGTCATGAAAGATGGAGCTATACCTCCACTCCCCCACACATCTTCATGACATATTGATGAAGTAATTAAGCATAGGGACAATCTTACCTTAATTTCTGGTTTGCGACAACGTGTAAGTGAACTGCTGGTGTAGCGAGAACACTCTAGTCTTGTACACGGTAGGGTGTGGGTTCGGATCTAGGCTGGAACAGGGCTACCCTGACTGAGGAATTCGAGGTCCTTCTCAGTTATCCACCATTCGACGCTAGAGTATATATTCTCAGTATCGGCAGCGTTGTGAAATAACCAACATCTAGGCACGGACCACACAGAAAACACCATTCCTATATTCTTGCGTGCTTATTCGTTGACGCGGGAACATGTTTACCGAGCAGTTACCTAGAAACGGTAGCTGTTTTTCGTCTTATCTCGCGGTCGTTGCTTGGCAACGGCTGTACAACGTATAATAATATAAAGTTACGCCCAAATTCATATGTGCTTTTAATAGGAACGTGATAGGTCTTAATACAATTAACTGAAAACAATCACAATGAAGAGTCCATGGTACATTTTACATTTCTTCTACTTGTGACTGGAAGGTCTAAGGAAAACCACGAAATATGTCCTCCGGGTTGATGAAAATTAGGCTCTTGCCTAATTCCCACGTGTGTGAGCCCTGAAGAAACGAACCTCACGCTGGACCTGTGATGTATCACAACTGGTTTACGAAGGACCGAAGTTGAATTCTGACTGCTACGGAGAGTCAGTCGCCCAGCTGGTAGCGCGATGTGCACAAGAGCCTACCGCTTATATTCATCTGAGCCAGCTTAATCCAGTCAACGCAAATTTCCGACGAAAATTTTGTATGCACTTCTTATGTTAGGCTTAGATGTAGTGAACAAACTGACGTCATACACTTTGAGTGCTGGTTTGGTAGGATGGCAGATGGAGGTTGGATTATAGAGGATTTGGAAAGAAGCGAGTGTGACCTGCTCGACGCACTTGCCTGGAGGAACTGAGGAAAAGGCCGAAAATGTCAGTCAAGGCAGTCGAGAGTCTGTACAATTTTTTTAAATATTTGCCCCTGCCTTTAATTAAAAATTACGACATGTAAAGGTAGGGGGGAGTGGAGGTATAGCTCCAATATTCTTGACCTCGGCACTAGCTGGAGGTGAGTGGGCAGTTTCACGGCATCCCCGCGGAAAGAACCCCAGGTACCCACTGGACAAGAGGCTGGGTGGGCCCCAGAGCCGGTCTGGACGCTGTGGAGAACAGAAAATTCTTGACTCTACCGGGACTCGAACTCCGACCCTTCCGTCGTCTAGCCCGTAGCCAGTCGCTACGCCGACTGAGCTATCCCGGCTCCCCTATACAAACCACATAGAGAGAAAACAATTAACACCCATACAAAACGGCAAGTAAAATTCTAATTATGTATATGCCTCCTTAACTCAATTAGTATAGCGGGTAGTCTACAGGTTAGACGGCCGGGTTTCGATTCCTGACGGGGACAAGTGATTTATCTGTCCTCCACAGCGTCCAGACCCATCCAGCCTCCTATCCAATGGGTATTTTGTGCTCTTTACCTGGGGGTAAAACGGCCGGGGCGGGAAGCTGCTCACTCTCCTCCATCTACTGCTAACGTCAAGAATGCATGGAGCTATATCACCACTCCCCCCATGTCTTCATGGTGTGGTGTTTAATTTTATAATGAAGTACAGGGAAAACATTGTCTTTTTGCTTTATATGAGACGAGATCAGATTAAGAGGCCGAGGGGCGGTAAGTACCTCTCCTCTGTGCGGAAACTCGCAAGGACGAGGCCCGCTTCCGGGCCGATAACTCTGAATGCGACGTGTACATTTACACAGGGCGCCAGTGCGGCATTATCTCGCGGCGTTGGGTCCCTTCAAACCCACTCTGCTGCACTAACGCGCGGTCTATGGGCCCCTTTGTTGCGGAGGTGCCGGCCAGCCGCGCGCATGCGCGGGGGAACCCACCCAAGTACGTGGGCTCGTCACACAGGGTCCGGGGAGCACGACTCGGAAACCCGGATATCGGCGTCGGGCTGACGCGTTTTATTGTACTTTAGTATCGAGGCAGCAGGCCTTAAGCCATCCCTGTAACTGGCCGTGGAGGCTCGCAGGGTTGTGAGACGTCGAGGCTCACACATTTTCTCTAGACAATCGGCTCACAGAAGGCGGTGAGATTGTCAAACTTACGCACCGGCCGCCCCTTATCCACAGGAAGATTCCTGGTACTCATTTCTGTTAGAGGCTGAGTCGACCCCAGGGCCATAGTGCGGCTGGAAGGGTTAGGTCAATTGAAAAAAAAACAGTGAACCCACGACCTTCCGGCTTTTAACATAGTGCCCCAACCAACTACACTACCGCGTGACGGCAGGCTTAAGACAATAAATAAGCAAATTTGTATTGTCACGATTATTTGTGACTATAGACGGGGTTTGGATTGGTGAATGGATTTATTGATCACTTATACACACGACTCGGCACTACAAGTAATTAGAGCGCCACCGCTAATCTCCACAATTCACAAATCACCACAGCACCCGCTATACCTTTTCCAGCCTGCTGTATCTTCACTAGCCGTACCTTGGCAACGGCTTCTAACAATAGAGATTCTTCAGCTTAACGCACTCAGTTCTTCTCTTCACTGATTCCCATATATATATATCCACATCAAAATATTATCACTAGACGAAGAGATACGAAGCACTGAAATAAAAGACTGCTCACTCGTTCGTGAACTACACAGCTTTAGTTCATGTGAAGTGCTGAAGTTAGATAGTTCGTGCTAGCCCGAATTAAAGAAATCTGAGATTTTCCTGTCATTTTTACATGACTACTTTATAAAGGGGGAAGGGTTTAAATACACGTACGTGCAGGTTCCATGCTTCAAAGAGTCCATTCAAAAGAATACGCGAATCTGAGGCACTTCCGGAGCTGCTCTGAATTGTAACGCCGTGTAGTACGGAGAGAGGTAGAAGTTTCGGAGGAACAAAACATCTCCATCTTCAGGGTCGAAGAGCAGAAATATGAGGTAGGTTCTGCTTCGGCCTCTCCACACGGTACGTAAATCTCAGAGGAGAGAACCACTCCACGGATTTAGCTTCTATATAAGTTTGAAGCAGATTTCCAGAAAGGACTGGCTGTCCGCCGTGTTCTCAACAATGCATCCTTAATCCATCAAAAGGATAGGGGTGATCCTTGATGTGCTGGAAGTAATAAGGCTTTGTCCGTCCGGGGGGTGGGGGTGACAAGTGCAGATTTAAACGGCAAAGTAATGGGAACATAGACAAAAGCTGGGTGCATCGCTGGGCCGACTCTTCAAGCAGCGAGTGACTCGCTCCCACGCGAACCGCAACCGGGCCGCTCAGACTGGCAACACGCCGCCTCCTTTATGAAGCAATATATTGACTTTGCATGAGGCGCTTCTTTCACTCTGTTAATGCATCGGAAACATAGCCTCAAGGTTACATAAAGATGAGGTCATTGCATTTTTCAATTGACCTAATCCTTCCAGCCGCACTATGGCCCTGGGGTCGACTCAGTCTGTAACAGAAATGAGTACCGGGAATCTTCCTGGGGGTAAAGAGCGATCGGCGAGTAACGCTGGCAACCTTACCGCCATCTGTGAGCAGATTGTCTAGAAAACGTACGAGCCTCGATGACTCACAACGCTATGGACCTCCAGGGCCTGTTAAGGCGCGTCTACATTACTCGTGCTCGTGCTCGTGTGACTCGCTATGCTCGCGAGTAATGTGGACTATATGACAAGTCACGAGACAAGCAAATTTTTAATTTAAAAACTATAGCCAATAAATTAAAATACGACTACAGCCTATACACACTACGAGTAAATATAGGGATCCTCACGCGCTGAAGTCTGGCGAGCAACTGAAGTAGTGTGGACGAAGATTTACGGGCACAAGTAAAAGCCAGACGAGTCTCCCGACGAGCACAAGCCTGGCGAGCACGAGCACGAGTAATGTGGACGCGCCTTTACAGGGATAGCTCGGCGCGTAAGGCTGACAACCTCACCGCCATCTGTGAGCCGATTGTTTAGAAAATGTGGGAGTCTCGACGTCTCACAACCTTACAATGTGACACAGTGCGGTTGGAAGGATGACGTCAATTGAAAATTCCAATTAAATCATCGAGAATCTAAAATCTGGGAGGGGAAAAAAAACAACAAAACCATCCATTACCACACTAAGCTACGAATGGTTTTGGAAGAGGCTATATATATGGGGGGAGTAAGATACTATATTTCCGGTTTTGAAGGTTCCCAGGCAGTGCTAGCTAGTCGTCCTACGTAGTAGACGTACGGCACATGGTCAGAATTACTTTCTGTTATATGAACTTGGAGGGGCAACTGAACTAGATCATTATTATCTGTTCAGTTCGTACCTCTCAGTGAACACGGAAACCAACTGGTTAGGCTTAATGCAGGTCAGAGAAATGCTCGCTCTTGTTAATCACAAGGAATATACTCGTACTGGCTAAATACACAGCGTGGACAGAAGACAGAATTTCTTAAGGTTAAAACAGAAGGCACAAATCACATTGGCCGCACGGTCTAAGGCATGAACCGTCCTCGCTAGCTCGAACACTGGGATCGTGGGTTCTAATCCCACTCAAGGA